GGACAAAGTTAGTGTAATAGAGGGGAAAGGGGGAAGAATAGAGAAAACAAGTGCTTATGCCAATTCGTTCACACTGCTTTTCATCTCACACTAATACTTGTTATAAGATTTTGGTTCAGCAGATTAAATAGTTCTCACTTCCCATCAAAATTGTCCCTTAATACACAACAAGAAAAATATTGTCATTCAAATCATGGTATTTAAAAAAATATTATCTGATTAAGAGAGGGTTAAAACACAGATTTTAAAAACTATCTAATACTATTACCATCCTTTTGAATTCCCCCTTCTGCTGTGTATGACTATAAATTACCTCCATGATGAAAAAACATCAGACTTCCAGCTTCCAGAAAATATAGTTTATGCTCATTCTCAAAAATACAAAATGTAGTTCAGCTAACCAATCTATTGAACAGACGTTGCTTTTCCTATTTCTAAAGATGCTATGATGGAAATGTTATGTGTTTGTGTGTGTGTGTATGTGTGTGTGTATCCCTGGGGCTCATGTTTCATAATCTTCCCAAAACAATCATTGATCTCTGTAGGATACCACTGCGTATCAAGGAAACCATCGTATCCTGGGACTCCAGCAATTATTGACCACTATGGAATATAAATAAAGTGAAAGAAAATCCAACTTGTTACATATTTTTGTAATCTAACACAATTACATTCAGAGTTCATGTAAATTGCAGAACATTGTATGCCACATGCAAGCCCTGCCTCTGTAAGGCAGTACTCACATTACTATATCACATTATGAAGTTTTATTAATAGGTCTTACAAACTTTGTATTATACATAAAAGCTCCTACCTAAAGGGCATACAGGTATTGATCGACTTACGACCTATGCAACTTATGACCATTCAACTTTAGGACCACAATCGCTAGCCACGACTGCTCCGCGTTTGGCAGCGCAAACGTTGCACAGCTGGGCTTACGACAGCGTGGACCAGTTTCCAGCAGCACTACCATCTCCGCATGCACCATTTCAACTGTGCATATGGCCTACTCAACTTACGACCAAATCATGTTACAACCGTTCCGTGGTCCCAACCGTGGTCGTAAGTCAAGCACTGACTGTAAATCTGAAACGATACCAAAGATCCTCCAAATATCAGAAAGGGGTGAGGATAATGAATCTCTTTTACTAAGAATACTAATAATTGCTTACATTTACTGAGTACTTCTCATGTGCCAGATACTATTCTAAATACAATTATATGAACACATTTTATCTGCACAAAAGTGGTTGACACCAGTATTGTTATTTCCCATTTAAAAATGAGATTCTGGAGGCACAGCAAGTGTAACTCGCCCGCAGTCACACACAGAGTCCCTGCTAGAGACAGGCCAAGTGTGGCTTTTTGGTTTGTGCCATCTGTGCAACTGTAAGGAAGAACAGAGCTCCAGAGTGGTACTGGGGGTGCAGACTCCCTGTTCAATGCTGGTGGTCATTAAATGGAAATATCTGAAGGATCTCTCCAAGCTCCACTTCCTTCTTGAATAATGCAGCAATGTCGACCTGAATGAACAGTGTTCAAATCACAGTCTTTGTGCCCCAAGAGAAACCAACATTTCAATAATCCCATTGATGTAACCAGTTATAATCTATGTGTTTTCCAAAACTGATCTGAGAATTCTCTGGATTAAGGAGACTTTCTGGGTCTCCTTTTAACCTAGCATTCTCACAACCTCTTTTCTCTCACTCTTTAAAAAGCATAGGATTTCTCTAATCCATTCATATCTTACCATGTGCATCACTCTGATGAGAAAAACAAAAGCAAACATCCAAATCCTAAACTTGAAATGTTATCCATGAGGGCTAAAGTTGTCTTTAACTGACACTTCAAACCCATGGCATGGCCTGGTTCTCTAAGATGTCTGTAAATTTCTTCTTATCGAAAAGAATTGCAGTTGACATGTATTCTAGACAATATAACCTTGGCCAGGTGTGGTGGCTAGTGCCTCTGCTCCAAGCACATTGGGAGGGGGCCAAGGCGGACAGATCGTTTGATCACAGGAGTTACAGACCACCTCGGGCATCATAGAAAAATCCTGTCTCTACAAAAATACAAAAATTAGCCAGGTGGGTGGTGTGCACCTATATTCCCAGCTACTTGAGAGTCAGAGATGGAAAGATCATTTGACCCCAGAGTTCCAGGCTGCAGTGAGTTGTGTTTACACCACTACACTCCATCCTGGCTGACAAAGAGAGAACATGTCTCAAAAAAATAAAAATAAATATATATATATATATATATATATATGTATAAAATTTACCTATTGGCTATTGAATATGGGTTTATACATAATATACACATATATAGTATACTATATGTACCCAGATACATAATAGAATGATGGAAACATTTGTTTAATACCCATTCATTTTGCACTTAGTATAATGCCAAACTATTGTCAAAAAATGCCTCTGTCTTGAAGATGAGAGTCATGATAGAAAGCTAAAATGCATCTATAAAGAACATCATTACCAGTGATGCCTTATGTGGTATAGGCAACCCACTCACAAGAAAGCTGCATAACTTATCTATCTTAGGCTTAAAAGGGTGGGAGGTGTTTTTAAAAGTTGATCTAATTTAAAATAGTTGTGATTAATTTCATGCTCACTATCCATAGATTAGATAACATAAGTGTGAAGCACTAAGTTTTTTTTGACATGTACTTAAACCACATAAGATGCCATCTGAATAAAACATTGTATCAACAAGTATTAATAAAATCAATAATTGTAAATTTAAAACAATTTTATTATTTTAAAATGTTTTCTCAATGTGGAATAATATCAGATGGTGAATTCTTACATAATAAAACATTTGGAAGGTTTTTTTTATTGCATTTTAGGTTTTGGAGTACATGTGAAGAACGTGCAAGATTGTTGCATAGGTACACACGTGGCAGTGTGATTTGCTGCCTTCCTCCCCATCACCTATATCTGGCTTTTTCCGTATGCTATCTCTCCCCAACTCCCCACTCCCCTTCATCCCTCCCCTCTTTCCCCCTGACAGACCCGGTTTTTGGTAGCCTTCTCAGAATTTGAGAAAGTGAATGACTCTAATGACTGCATAACAAACCACTCCAAAACTATTGCATGAGTCATCCAGGTGGTTCTGCTGATCTGTCCCTGACATGGCTGATCTTGGCTTGTCTTGCTTGTGTGTATGCTATTAGCTGGCAGGTCCGGTCATCCAACAGGACTTCACACTCAAGTCTGCTAGGTTGGCAGAGAACAGCCCTTGTGATGGGCATATGGGTTAATTTCTCTCATTATCAAATTTGCTATTTTATGCTTGTTCACATGGCAGCTTTTCAGAATTTCAAAAGATAGTGAAATTTAGGATGCAATGTAATATTAAAACAATGTCCCAACTTTTGAGAAAATTAAAAATTGTGTAAGTATCAGATGTATATGAAGAATAAATTTTTGAATACCACAAGATACAGATATCAAGAGAAAAAGTATTCATTCCTCAGGCATTCATTATCTAAAACGCTGTTCCTTACATTTAAAAAAATGTTTCCATATACAAGGATTATTTAGTTAATTTTTTATCAAATAATAAATATAAAATAAATTACTATAATTATCATAACTTTAATAATCATCATAAGGCTAAAATAATATGAACATTTTAAATAAGTTTAAGAAGTTTACATAAAATTTTTCCTGATATTATTTTTTCTTCCATAACAAAACACCTAGAAATTTAATTCTTCCACCATATTGCTGATTTAGTTTAGATTGTATCTTGACACATTGAAAAGGAGAAGGGCATACAATTTATTCAAATGAAAGTGAGTTATTAAGGTAAGACAAAGATAGCATTTTTAATTTTCTGTGTTAAATAGGTCTTGATATTAATGATTATCTGATTTTTATTTTATTTTGATTAAGTTATGTAGCCAAATAACTTTCAAAACTAAAGACTACAACAACTACATTTTTATAAAGGTGGTTGGGAATTCTGTCGAGAAGGAGTCAGATATTATTTCCATGCTTATCATAAAAGAAAAAAATGTCATCATGGATTAATACTGTTTGTGATGTCTAACAGTGTGACATACAGGTTGGGCAGGTGTTTGTCATCCCTAATTTGGTACCTAAGATTTTCTAAGATCTGATCCATTATTTCTCAGATTCTGGAAGAGTCTATTTTAGTTTATCAGACGATCTCACTAGCTCCTTTAAAAACACAGTCAGGATATAGCCCATATTGTATTAAAATTTCCGTTCATGTCAAGTACCTATATACATAATACAACACACACACATTCTATTATGTTAACTCAATAAAATACATACTAGATCTTTGACTCTTTGACTGTATATTACACTCTTATCTCCTTAGTTTCACTCACATTGTTTTCTCCTAAATAAAACTCTTTTCTCACTGAAATGTGGCTCCTAAACTCTGCCCATATCCTTTTCAAAAGCCAGTTTCAAAGAATATCTATTTCATTAACACATCCTTCTAAAATTCCTAAATGGATTTGAACTTTCTCTTCTCTCAAACTCTCTTTGGTACTTATCAAGTCTTGCCTTATACAATAGCCACTTCTTCATTGCCCTGTTATCAACACAGTTTTGCATCCTTGAGGATGAGGACTATCTCTTCTTTAAAGTATTTTACACATTTATAAAAGAAATTCATATGTTTATTGAGCACTTAGTCTATTCCTGATATTTTATAAGAAAGGGATATAGAATTAATAATGTTCATTGACTTACACAAGGTGTCCATTATATTTTAACCTTCACAATCAAACTATGATCTAACCCATGTTATACTAATTTCATAAATGAAATAGCAATGATTAGAGAGATTACTGTTGTTTCTCAGAAAGTAAGAGGCAGAGTTAAATTTAGTCTGTTGAAAACAAAATCCATTTCGTTCAGTTGTACAACCTTAACTCTATGCATTTGTAAAGATAGATTTGAGATCAATATATATGGACACACTATTTATATATGTGACAAACTCCCCTAACGTAACAGGCTCAACAAGAGAAGACTTTGGTACCCAGTATCTTGGTGACTGTATTCTTGACATCTTTATTTCTCAGACTGTAGATCAGGGGATTTAACATAGGGATCACCACTGTGTAAAATACAGAGGCCACTTTGACTGTGTGCCTGGAGTTTTTGGAGTTGGGAACACAGTAGAGGAAGAGGATGGTGCCATGGAAGATGGTGATGGCAGTCAGGTGGGAGGCACAGGTGGAAAAGGCTTTGCGGCACCCACTGTAACGCATCTTGAGGATGGTTACAACGATGAACACATAAGATGTGAGAATGATGAGTAGTGTGCTGACTTCATTAAAGGTGGCAAAAAAGAAAAGCAGCCACTGATTGAGGGAAGTATTAGAGCAAGAGAGTGATATCAGGGAAGATAACTCACAGAAGAAGTGATTGATTGTGTTGAAACCATGAAAAGATAACTTTAAAGCAGAACACGTCAGTATCACAGAACATGTGATTCCCCAGGCATAGGATCCCACAACCAGCACCACGCAGAGTTTCTGGGACATAGCAACTGTGTAGACCAGAGGGTTGCAAATGGCCACGAAGCGGTCATAGGCCATCACAGCTAATAAAAAGGATTCAGTGACCACAAAGGTACAGAAGAAAAAGAATTGTACTACACATCCTAAAAATGAAATGGTTCTGTCTTTGACGACGAGGCTTACCAACATCTTGGGAGCAATGATGGAGGAATAGCAGAAATCCACAAAGGAGAGGTGGCTGAGGAAAAAGTACATGGGGGTGTGCAGTTTGGAGTTGATTTTGATGATCACAATCAACCCGATATTCCCTACCACAGTCACACTGTAGATGGTCAGAAAAAACAGAAAGAGTGGGACTTGCAGTTCTGGGTAGTCTGAGAAGCCCAAGAGGGTAAACGTGGTCCCACTTGTATTTCTATCTGCCAGTAACATCGTTTCTCAGAATCTGAAAGTTAGTTCTGAAAACAAAAATGTTAAGGAGAGTAAGAAAATAAGAAACATGATTGAGTACCTTTACGGATCCTGAAGGATGAAGCAAAATATCTCTTTCAGAATCTATGATTTTATTGTTCAAGATTTACTAAATACCTAAAATGTAAAATATATTTAATGTGTTTTAATTTCTTTAGAAAATATAATTATTGAGTAAAATATTGTTACTAACTATAATTTTTAACATTTATAAGTATAGGAAAAAGAGATTAGATACTTGTGATTACTCTAAATTAAATATATCAGGCCTCCTCGAGCATTATAAATTTATAAAACATAATCCTAACATAATATAATGCTCTCTTGTAGTTACTGATTACAAGATTATGTACACCTTGTAATCAGTAATACGAATCAAAATTTTTTAAACAAATGAGTTTTCACACCCTATGTTTATACAACGGCATTAACTATCAATAGCCCTAACACTTAACATTTGTGCCTTTATTGGTAATTCCATATAGCACTTTAATCTTTGTCTGACCCAGAAATTCTGACTTCAAAATACAACTTAACTAATCGTTTCAGAGAATATGCACCTCAACTCAGGCCATGCTAATTATCAATCTTTCCTCATTGCTTGAGGAATAATAAAATTTGAACAGGCAATACAGATAACCTAGTTCATTCTTTATTCTAGAGGTGACAAAGTAGAAGCCAGAGAAACTTTGAATTTCCTAAAGATATGCATATGAAGAACAATCTACCCATCTATGACTAGAGTTCCAATCCTCAGACTCCTAGCCATGTATACTTCACCCACACCAAACTGCTCCATTATCTAGGTCTAGATCCTAACATATTCCCTTCATTAATAACTGTACTTTCAAATAGTAAGCAAACTAGAGACTCATAGTCCAATGACAGTTACTGCCACAAAGATATATTAGAAAGTAGCATCAAGATAAAACACATGAGAAAGGGATTTAGGAATATCTTCGCACCCAGAACTATTATGAGTCTGACTTAGAAAGTAGCATCAAGATAAAACACATGAGAAAGGGATTTAGGAATATCTTCTCACCCAGAACTAACTATTATAAGAGTCTGACTTGCAAACTTCTGTTTTCTTCCAGGCCCTCCCTGTCTCCATCTCTACTTCTCTTCTCTCCCTTCAGGACACATTGTACATTCATTGTGTCCAACTATTACCTATGAAGGAGGACTAAAATCTCAAGGTAGTACTGCAACATGAAGACAGTTCATGAGAATACAGAAACCAATAGTAGGAAAGAATCATTATATTGCTCTAATTACTGTCCAACACCTCTCAGATCCCATTATATCGATAATGTCTTTCTCTATTATAATAGACATTATCACTATTCACATAATCCAAGAAGGCTTTTAGACAACCCATCAGAAAAGATGTTAGGTTACATGCAAGACCAAGATATTCAAGGGCTCTCTCTTCCTACACTCATGAGTTTGTGTATTAATGACATCTCAAAAGACAATCCATCACAAACCAAGATACTCTAGGATTTTTTTTTCTGTTTTCTTTCATTTTTGTTTGTTTTGTTTTGTTTATTGAGACAGAGTATCACTCTGTTGCCCATGCTGAAGTGCAGTGGCATGATCTTGGCTCACTATAACCTCTGCCTCCTGGGTTCAAGTGATTCTCCTGCCTCAGCCTCCTGAGTAGCTAAGATTACATGTGTGAGCCACCACTCCTGGCCAGAACATTTTTTCCAAATACTGCATTTTATTTATCTAAGACATTTAAATATTTATTTTAAATTAATGTTACACTTTATATGTTCCAAATGAAACTATTAAGTAGCTAATAAAAGTTTCCATATTTGAATCCAGGAAATAGGACAGATGAAATCTTCTTACCTGTAATTTCTTTCCATTCAAATTTAGCTATTATTTTTGCTTTTAGGACTGACATGTGTTTCCTGTTATATAATCTTAATTGCAGTGGTGACTTCTATTTTTTTTCACTAGAGAGTCTATGTTCATTTCAATTTACTTAAATATTGTCTATTCTACCTTGACTTTTCCTCCAAAACTTAACAGAAGCAAGGCAATACACATTCCCAATATTCTCAAGGCTCTTCTATTTCTCCATCCCCGGTACAAGTTTTTCATGAGGCTGTGGTTCAGGAGTCAGACCTTCTGAAAAAAACCTTGGCAGAAAGAGAGCATTTTCTGTTCTTCTCACATTCACACATATTTTTCAAGACCTGTCGAGTTCTAAGGGTGCATTTTCCTCCTCCTAAGTTGTTATGTAGATTGAAATTAATATCGATCTGCCTTTAGAATCTTAAAGCAAATCTACTGATGGCAGAGGTAGGATGTTTCCAGGCTGAGAATGACACAGGCATTCTTATATCTAAGATCTAAGATATAAGATATCTTATATCTACCGTTACAACATAGGAGACATGAACCCTAGGGACTATCTATTGCCTCAGTCTCCTGAGGTCACAAAAAAGACAATTAAAATTAATCATCTTCTGATGTAATTCTAATATATTAGAAAACCTGCAGCCAACTATAAGAGCATTAGGAACACTTCATATAAAACAGTTTATGTTTGAAAGTCATCTTCTTCGGCCCTCTGATCACTTCCAGATATGTCTGCAATTATAAGAACGTGTAATTTTAAGATCATTGGTATCCAATGCTGATTCACTGACTACTATTTGCCAGGCATAATCCTCTTCTTCCACATCACACACTGAGATCATATTGAAAAATATGAAGATCTAGCTTTCAGGTCATCCTGACTTATTTAGAAATATTACAAAGCAGAAATATTACAAAGTAAATATTCAATTGGATGAATAATATCATCCCTGTTGAATCTCTGTCCTAGTCATTGCTCGTTTTCCCTGCTGTCTTCTCCAGCTATTCCGACCTTCTGTAATTTGTTCAAAATATAGCACACTCCTTCCTTTAGATTATTCTACTGGAGTTTTCTCTGCCTGGAGTTCCTTACTTTTTTTCTCAAATGCAAAATTTTTGGTTAAACCTTCTGTGAATACACTATTATAATTTAAGAGTCCCCTCACTACCCAAATTTATTGTTTAAAATACTTAACATGTTGGGGCCGGGCGCAGTGGCTCAAGCCTGTAATCCCAGCACTTTGGGAGGCCGAGGCGGGTGGATCACGAGGTCAAGAGATCGAGACCAACGTGGTCAACATGGTGAAACCCCATCTCTACTAAAAATACAAAAAATTAGCTGGGCATGGTGGCGCATGCCTGTAATCCCAGCTACTCAGGAGGCTGAGGCAGGAAAATTGCCTGAACCCAGGAGGCGGAGGTTGCGGTGAGCCAAGATCGCGCCATTGCACTCCAGCCTGGGTAACAAGAGCGAAACTCCGTCTCAAAAAATAAAATAAAATAAAAATAAAATAAAAATACTTAACATGGTTAAAATGTATTTTTAATCATTATGTATTTTTTTATATTATGGTACATCCTCACTTATCATCAGTGGGATTTTGGAAATTGTGACTTTAAGTAAAATAATAAATAATAAAACTATTTTTCTCAACAATGTTATAACAAAATAAAGTGCAATAAAATGACATTATTTGAGGATCAACTGTAGGTTGTTTTGCTTAAAGTCACACTTTCCCAGAACTTACTGATGACGTTAAGTGAAACATGACTATATATTCTTGTTTGTTCCTCCTAGAAAAATGTTCCAGGAAAGCAGAGATTTTTCATTTTTTCATTTTTTTTACTGACATGTTCCATGCTCTTAGATCACTAACTGATCTAATACAAAGTATATGTACCAGGAATATTTCTTGAATGACCTTTTATATAACCAGAAATAGAGTCAATCCTAAAGAACTATGGGAAATTAGAAAACAGAGACATTGTACACACACACACACACACACACACACACACACACACACACGTGCACAAACTGGATGTTTTCAGAAAACACAATTTTTTAATGTAAACATATACTATTGTAATCTTAATGGAGTGAAAGATGTGCCACCCCAAAATATTCCAGATTTGTATATTGGTTATTTTGATTAAAAAAACATTGAGAAAAATGTAGTTTTAGAAAAGGTGAACTGATCTGTCCCTTCCTGCATACAGCGAGTGCTGAAGATTCTTCTGGGATAGGCACCTTCTCCATTCCAGGGCTACAAAGTGGCTCTTACCACAAGAGACTTGAAATTAGAGACTGCAAGGGACCTGAATAAACATACTTAATGAAGAAAACTTATCTTCCAACTGATTTACAGCCCCTTCATCTATCACTTAGTGACTCCCCTGGAAAATTTCAGTGTTCTAGCCATATTTTCTTGGTCCTGTAATTTTTCTAAAATTTTTTGTTCTTTGTCTACAAAGTGTGAAAGCATCTTGCTTTGGCCACTTCATCAGACATCACTGTCTTGTGAAGATCGATCTATGTGAAACTAATCAAATTAGTGTGCCTTAAAAAAATTTATTTTAAGTTCAAGGGTACATGTGCAGGTTTGTTACAAAGAAAGGCAAACTTGCTTCATGGTGAGTTGTTGTACAGATTATTTCATCACCCAGGCATTAAGCCTAGTAACCATTACTTGTTTTTCCTGATCATCTCTCTCTTCTCACCCTGCACCCTCTGAAGGGTCACAGTGTGTGTTGTTCCCCTCTATGTGTTCGTGTTCTCATTATTTAGCTCTCACTTATAAGTGAGATCATGTGGTATTTGGTTTTCTGTTTCTGTGTTAGTTTGCTAAGGATAATGGCCTCCAGCTCCATCCATGTCCCTGCAAAGAACATGATATTGTTTGTTTTTTATAGCTGCATAGTATTCCATGGTGTATATGTACTGCATTTTGTTTTTCCAGTCTATCTTTGATGTATATTTAGGATGATTCCATGTCTGTGCTATTGTTAATAGTGCTGCAATGAATATACATATGCATGTGTCTTTGTTATAGAATGATTTATAATCCTTTGGGCATATACCAGTAATGCGATTCCT